TCATTTGTTTCCAGAAACTTTTTGATTTCTTCCCTAATTTCATTCTTGACCCATTCATTGTTTAATAGCATGTTATTCAATCTCCATGATTTTGAGTGTTTGGGGTTTTTTTCCTTGTGGTTGGTTTCTAGTTTCAGTCCCTTGTAGTCAGAGAAAGTGCTTGATATGATTTCAGTTTTCTTGAATTTGTTGAGGCTTGTTTCATGTCCTATCATGTGGTCTATCTTTGAAAATATTCCATGTGCATTTGAAAAGATTGTGTATTTAGCTTCTTTGAGATAGAGGGCTCTGTCCATATATAAGTCTATTTCATCTGGGGCATTGTTCAATGCCACAATATCTTTGTTGATATTTTGTTTCGAAGATCTGTCCATTTTTGACAGTGGGGTGTTAAAATCCCCACTATAATTGTGTTGCTGTCAATATCTTTCTTGAAGTCCTCTATGATTTTCTTTATGTATTTGGGTGCTCCTATGTTGGGTGCATATATATTTACAATGTTTATTTCTTCCTGATGATTTCTTCCCTTGAGTGTTAAGAAGTGACCTTCTGGGTCTCTCCTTATGGCCCTTTTTTGGAAGTCTATTTTGTCTGATATGAGTATTGCTACCCCGGCTTTTTTTTTCCCGTCTGTTTGCTCAGAAAATTTGTTTCCTTCACTTTCAGGCTGTGTAGGTCTTTTGTCCTGAGGTGGGTCTCTTGTAGGCAACATATGTGTGGGTCATGCTTGCTTATTCATTCAGCTATTCTATGTCTTTTGATTGGAGCATTTAGTCCATTCACGTTTAAGGTTAGTATTGATAGGTACTTATTCATTGCCATTTACGTACCTGTGTTCCTCTCTCTCTTTCTTTCTCTTGTCCTTCCTTTTCCTAAAGCAGTCCCTTTAGCATCTCTTGCAGAGCTGATTTTGTGGAGGTGTATTCTTTTATACTTATTTTGTCTGGGAAGCTCCTTATTTGGCCTTCTATCTTGATTGAGAGCCTTGCTGGGTAAAGTAGACTTGGTTGCAGGCCTCTGGTTCTCATTACTTGGAATATTTCTTTGCCTTCTCTTCTTGCTTGGAGAGTTTCCATTGAGAAGTCAGCTGCTAATCTTACCAGGGCTCCCTTGTATGTTACTTCCTGTTTCCCTCTTGCTGCCTTTAAGATTCTCTGTCTTGAAATTTTGCCATTTTAATTATGATGTGTCTTGAAGTGGGCCTCTTTGGGTTCCTCTTGATTGGGACTCTCTGTATTTCCTGTATTTGTGTGACCTTTTCTCTCATCAAATTAGAGAAGTTTCCCATCATTACTTTTTCAAATAGGTTTTCTATCCCTTGCTCTTCTTCTTCTCCTTCTGGTATGCCTATTAAATAGCTATTATTTCATTTCATATTGTCTTGAATTTCTTTTAATACCTCTTCATTCTTTCTGAGCCTCTTTTCCTTTTCTTGCTCTTTCTGGTTTTTTTTTTCTACTTTGTCCTCCAGCTCACTGGATGATCCCATATTCTGCTTCATTGATCCTGCTTTTGATTCCTTCTACTGTGTTCTTCAGTTGAGATATTGTATTCATTTCCTTTTGCCCCTTGTTGACAACTTCTATTTCCTTTTTCATGTTGATATAATTTGCAGTGAGTTCACTGTAATTTCCCTGTAGTTTCTGGTAATTCACTGTGAGCTCATTGAGCTTCCTGATAACCATTGCTTTGAACTCAATATCTGATAGTTGAGTTGCCTCTATTTCATTTAGCATTCTTTCTGAGGCTTCCTCCTTTCCTTTCATTTGGAGATTGTTTCTTTGTCTTCCCATTGTTTGTGAGACTCTTCTTGTTAACCTCAGCTTCTTAAATTGATGTGTTCTGGCTCCCTGGGTTTATGGTGTGAACTTCTGTGGTGGAATACCTGTGAGATTCAGTGGTGCGGTCTCCTTGATCTCCCAAGCTCACTGGTCTTGGGCTGTCCTTTAAGTTGGTTAAGTATTTGTCTTTGGGTTTTGATTGTTGTTGGGTCTTTCTTTGGTGGGTCCTTCCCAGCAGCTGGTTAACTGAGGGTCACTCTGTCCACCACCTCTTGTATTTTGTTGTGCTGGTGAGGGCAGGTTGTGTTGCAGCTGGTTCTTCCATGTGTACAAGGTTTTGAGGATTCTCTCTTGCTCTTGTTCAATTGTTTATACTGGGTAATTTCTCCACTATTTAGTTGTATTTCCAGATAGATCCTGCATTTTGGTTTGTGTGGTTTCCACTCCCTCCTTCACCTTCTTCTGTTGTTATCTGTTGGTGGTTCCTTTGTTGTTGGGTTTCCTCTTGCAGTGGGTATCCTGATGTTCACCGCTTCCACCTACTCTTTTTTGTGGTCAGTTGGAGGGGGAAGGCAAAATGGTTTAAGGCAGCAAGAGAATATTCTATGATATTTACAGTAGCAGTTGGTAGAGAAGACATAGGAGATCCTTTGGCTATGTATGGTGCTAACCGTGATCTTCCACCTGACTAGCCAGGTTTTAGAAATGATGGAAAGAAGATAAGACTCTTGATGGGGAAGGAAGGATTGTGAGTTAGATCTAGAAAGCAGTTAGGTTGTGGGAAGTCACATTCTGAAGTAACATGAGACTAAAGGACAATAAATAAGAATAGTGTGTGAGAATAGAGTTAACCACTACAGTAATAGTGTTCAGGAAACTGTGAAGTGGGCTAAGATCTGGGAGGGGTGTTGTGTAGTATTTACAATTGTATGGAATAGCTATTATTTACAATAATATTAGAGCAGCAATCATATGACAGTATCTATGAGATCTGGATAACAAGAATAGGTAGTATAAGACCTTGAGCAGTGTGCTAATGGAACACAAGTCAAATGAAGGACAGGAAATTAGCAATACACTATGAGTGAGAGCACAGGGGAAACTTGTCAGATGATACAATATAACCAGCCAAGCAAAGAAGATTAAACAGAAAGAAGAGGAATATAAAAATACTATTAAAATAAAATATGTAATAATAATGAAAAAATAATAATACAAATATGCAATAACTTGCAGGTTATCTGTAATAGCAAAGTGAAATTTGTCTCACTGTCTCAGCTATCGGGATGCCCCCTTTTTGGGTCCAACTCTGGTCTTTTCACAGTTCCAGGTTTTTTTGTCTCACTTGTGGGTATTTTAAAAGAAGAAATAAGCAGAAGGAGGAAGGAAGAAGAGATAAAATTGGAAAGAAAGTAAGAAGGAATGAAACAAGAAAGAAGGAAAAAGAAACAAAAGGAATTGATAGAGAAAAAATAAGAAAAATTAAAACTTACTTACAAAAAAAACACCTCTTGCTGGTTTCAAACTGGCCAAACTGGTTTTTCTCATCTTGCTGGCTGCAGCAGGCTGAGGGGTGATTGGTATCGCTTTTCTCCTTCCCTGTTCAGCACTCGTTCAGCCTCGTATGTACTCTCCCCAGGGCTAACCTCGCATTCTCCCCAGAGCTTGCCTGGTGACTCTCCACAGAGCCTTGGGTGTGGGATCTGGGCCTTCCTCAGAGCACACTCTCCCCGGGTTTAGGGCTGTGGGCTTTGGGCCTACCACAACATACACTCTCACCAGGTTGTGGGCACGTGTGCTTGGCCAGGCCGCCTCTGGTCACACAGGTTTGGGCACACACTCTTCCCAGGCCTATGCATGGGTGCTCACAACCCCTGTGTATTTGCCACTTAGTCCTTATTCCCCTCTCTGTGACTTCAAGCAACCAGGTCTCTCCTGGTGCTGCTCAAACCTTGTTTGGCCGGGGAGAGAGCAGTTGACCCAGCTCTCTCCCAAGAGCCCTGTGGCAGACCGGGTAGGTGCCAGGCCTGGGGCTGTAGCCTCCCTGGTCCCTGTGCTGATCCCTGGGCCCTTATTATCCTGAAACACTCTCCTTACCATCTGGTTTTTCAATGTCTGCTACAATTTTTGGTCTCCTATTTTCATATATGCTGGGGTACTGTTGGCTGTTTGCTATGTTCCTCTGTAGATTGGCTAGATTTTTCTCCCATTTGTAGGGGGAAGTGAAATCTGCTCCCTCCTACCTCGCTGCCATCTTCCTCTCTCTCTAAGGTAGATTTTTTTTATCAAGATCAATATGTAGCAAACCAGAATTGTAATTCTCTCTCTCTCTCTCTCTCATACACACACACACACACACACACACACACACACACACACACATTTATCACAGGCATGGCTCATGGAGTCCTGACAGCAAAGCAAGGTATCTGGCATCTGAAAAGGAGACTTCAGAAAAAACCACTCTAGTGCCCTTGAAGGCACAAACCTGTTTCATGAGATGCTGACACAGCTTGTATTTCTCACTAATTAGTAGAGAAAATGTTTATTAGGTAGAGACACAATTTTATAGTTCACAAAGTTTTTCTTCTCATTATGATCCTAAATCTGGTGTGTCTTTAGTACCAAGACAATTTTTGGTAAATGAAGCCAGCATTCAACTATCTTGTTGCATGTTACACTGCATTTTTTTTTGAGAGAATGGACTTGAAGTCAGACACTTGAACACAAACCTTCCACTTGGTACCTATTATTTTTGATACTGTCTCTTTCAGTCCTTGATGAAGAAGGAACATTGCGATTGAACTGACATATCCCTGAGGACTCATTTGTAGTGAATGATTCCTATACAAGACTGAACAATATATAAAAGAAGTTGAAAATCTGTCCTTCTCAGTGACACAAAAAAGGAAACTGCAAGAATTTGGCATAGATGTCCCTCCACATATGCTTTTTTATGAGGCATTAGTCATTTTACTTGTGATTATAAAAAAAATAATGAATTAAGATTCTTTTCTATGCAAACAGGACATTGGGAAAAATATGAATGACACAAGGCAAATTGTAAACCCTATTTTTGAATGAAGGATATTGGAATGAAAAAAAAGAGAGACAGCCATAAAAAGCTGGTGAGAATGGTTCAGATGAGCTCAGTGCATTAGATGTACCCAAAGACAGATGTGTGACAAAGAAGTGGGTGAGGGTATAAGACTTAAGAGCTTGGAGAACACAGTGTCATGGGGCCAGTACATGTCATAGGAGAAAAATATGGATACACTTTCTGAGAAAAGGAACATGAAGAGAATTTATAGATGAGAAACCCATGGTTTGTGACATTATAAAATGAGACAGTGCGAGCATCATAGTCTAGGAAAACGCCAACACGGCGGGGAGGAACAGTCAGACTGAGGGCTAATTTCAAGGGATCAGAGGAGGAAAATTCCCCAAAAGCATTATATTTAAACTGATGCTCTAATCCTATAACCCAGAAGCATCGTTTAGGTTGATCACTAGAGGTATCAGAGTCTTTTTTACCATATACCCCCAAGTACCAGGATTGTTTCTCTGACACATCCACCTCCCAGTAATGTTTCCCTGATGTGATAACCAGTGAGCCAAGTACAGCAGAAGCCTTCGTATTTGCATCGAGATGGTGCTCATATCTCACTTGCCTCCGATTTGCAGAAATGGCAACATTTCGTTTGTCCGTGGAAGGGTACAGGGTAATGTCATCTGTAGAAAAATTACAGGGTTGTTTGAGGGATGTGACATACCTGTTGAGAATAACATGAGTAGAAACTGAGAAGAATTTAGTTCTATTCTTGGTAGTAGGTCTAACACTGCTGAAGCATAATATGTATGTGGTGTTGGAAAGGAATTGTAGGTCTGAAAATAAGAGACATAAGAGAAAACACAAAGTTCTGAAAGAAAATGAGGACATGGGCTTTATGATACTGTGGTTTCTCCTTACCCCAATAACGGCGCACATCAGTCAGTTCTGAAATGATAAAAATCCATAACAGTAAATATAAGCAAAGGAGTCAGCACTACAATATATTTACTCTCCAATCAAGGAAATATGTAAGACAGTAAACAGAAGACGGAGAGGTGAGCAAGACAGCTGGTCACGCCCCATTAACTATGGCTACATCATCACCACATGATATCCATTCTCCTTTGCCACCTCTATCCACACCTAGAAACTGAGCCCTCCTCCCTCTTTAACTCCCACCATCACCAGACACCCTCAGCCACCCACCATCTCTGGCATGCCTCACCATTAAACGCTTGCAGCATCTCACTCAGGTCAGGAGCTTGGAACACTCTCCTTTGTTCCTTGGAGACAGTTTTTGGCTTCTTCAGAGTAAAGATCTTACTCCTAGGGATGACAAAATAATATCCTCACACCTCTGACTTTTTGGCTCTCCAAAACCACTCATTTCTGTCTACTCACCCCACTAAGCACTTGAGCCTCCTTCAATGGACCCCTGAGCAAGGAGAGAGCAGACTTCCAACCTTGGAGCCAAAGGAATACACTCCTGGCTAACTTTACAGTACACAGTGTGTGTTCTTAGGCAGGCCTTGACCTCGCAGAAGCACAGTTAATTCCTTTCAAAATGAAAACTAACCTCCACTTCTCTTACCACTAGGAATCATATAAAATTACATGGCTTTTTTTTTTAAATGGAAACTTTGGTTCCTTAAAACAAAACAATGTGAGGAAAAACTCACCAAATGGATGTGGAGAGATATTACATGACAGAGAGGTGGCAGAACCTGGCTCCTAGTAATTTGACAGATACCACTACCCAGTGAGGGACTACTGTCTGGAGGGGATATGGACTTTAAAGTCTGCTTCCCAGAAGGGAGACTCTCAGAATAAAATCTGAGATTTATGTTTCTCTAGGGACAACATAACACCTGGAAAAGAAGACATTATATATACCATACTAATTGTGGTTGGCAGTTTTTATGTTTGAACAGCTTGTTGTAGCCAGGTAGGCATTCAAATGTAGATATAATGATGCTGCCCTTTCATTCTGCTTTTGAAAGTGCATGGTCGAGAGGGATCAGTTGTTTGCACCAGGCCAAAATATTCTTTGCTATTCACATCTGTTTTTTGAAGAAGAAAAAAAGAGAGAACTCTATGGAAGGGACCAGGATTCTTCTACCCACAAGGGATAACTTTAAATATAAAAGAGTGTTCTCCAATTCTGGGTGCTTGGCAGGTAAAGAAGACACAACCTATGCCCAATAGATAAAGTTACTAAGAAATAAAGGGAACCTGAATTCAATACAGGCATTCTGGGTGACTAAAATTATGAAGTTACAAGGATCTGATACTGCAACATCTCAACCCTAAAAGCTGCTGACCCAAACTCAGCACCTCCCCCAACCTAAATTCCCCACTACACAAACTGGTCCATTAGCATTAGTTAGAGAACACTCAAACCATGAAATGTGGACAGGAATTTAAGATAAAACTAAACCAGAATTTTCTTGCCCTAAGCAATATTGTATTCTAATTAACCACTAGATAACATTAATAGCCTTAAACCTCTTTTCACAGCACCAAAGGACCATCTCTGTTCTCCCACACATACCTTTCCATGATGCCATTCACATCCTAGGGAGAAAAGAGAAAAAAATGGGTCAAGTGGTAATAAGCCTCCTCACTTACAAAGTTTCATCACATCCCACCACTCCCTGATACGGGGGGAAGAGAGATGGTCCCAAAGTGACACCCAAGAAGTACAGAGAAGACTCAGGTCAATCATTCAAGAAGACTCATGTGAAGTTTTGAGGATTCCTAAAAGGTAGAGCAAACTTTCACGTTGTGCAACCACAGCATGAGGCTTCCACTATCAGGACATGAGGTATATTTAGGAGGAAAACATGAGGCCCATGACATATTACCCATGTTCATAAGGATCTCATGAGGTGATTTGAGTAAGTCATGGCTCATTAACTCATTCAACATGAATTTAAAGTGATGTGCTATTACTTGTCAAGGATTATACCAGGTAATCAAAAATGACTAGTTGTAGTATTCCTCAAGAAGTTTGCATGACTTCTGCTGAGGGTAAAAGCAAACAAATGTATTAATGTAGGCTTTTCTCAAGTCTCTCCTCATTTGATACACTGTCTATAATTGGCCTCATTAACTCCCAAAATTCAACATGTGCAATCGATTTCCAAATTTTATTTTTACTCAATTTTGCCTCCTAAAGGTAGGTTAATATATTCCCTAGTGAAGAAGCTGTATGAAACAGTGCCTTAAGATTCTTCATATGTACCTTACTCTTCATCAAACATATTGTGTCTTCCCTTCCTTATACTTCTTTGTTCATGTTACTATCATCCCCTTGGTCACTGTCCCAATAATATAACATTTACCTGCATCTTATTGTCTATACAACCAGTTTATTCCACATTGTTAACAGTTGTTTGTCATCTGAACTTTTTTTAATCATGACACTTTTATTTCTTTGAATACTTATGTACCAATTTATTTGGTCTTCTCTATCTCAAACTAACTTCTTGCATGACACCATAAACTAGACAAACTGCTGGGTTTACACACACACACACACACACACACACACACACACACAATTGCTTTGCTCTATGTATTAGGGCTTTATTGCAGTATGATGAAAAACAATTAAGAGTGGATGAAGTATGACACAGACACCGGCCAGCAGTGTCTGAGGTGTTATGGATGGGATACAAGACCAATTCACAAGGACTACCGAGTCCTGTGGAAGAAAGGGGGCAGGCCACTCTCTCTAGGGGAGAGTGCCCTGCACCCCTGCCTAGACAAGCCTTTATTGTTTTTTGTTTTTTGGTGTTTTGCACAGGAATACAGATACAGCTTATTAATCATTGTCTGGCAGTAAGGATTAAGTGATAGATAGCATACAAAGAACTATTTAGGGCTCATTCTGAGTCAGGGTCTATCACCTAAAAAGCTACAAAACTTAAGGGAACAAACTCATTTCCTGCCAGGGCCTTCATCATTTAATTAAGAACATTCTTAGCAAAGCAGGTTTCACAGGATTTTACATATCCTTTCTCAGGCCTGATTACCCAGGGAGTCAGTCCTATCTAGCACAGGGCTGTACTGCCCTCTGACATTGTTTCAGGCCTAAGTCAGTCAGAGGAGGCAAGATAGCCAGAAAATTAGGAGACTTCTCACAGGCAGAATGAGGACTCAGGTTTGACACTTTTGTTTCTTTGAATAAAAGAAATTTTATTTTCTTGACACTTTTATTTCTTTGCCCCTAAGCTAAGGGGCAAAGTTCTATCACCCCCTTTCTCCATAGCCCCCCAAGTCCTTCCCTGGGGCCTCCATGTGATCATGCCTATCTTAGGTCATTCCCCCCTTGGGGAGACTTACCCATCACTGGCTAACAGATCAAGCATTGGGGACCAGTTATGGAAAAAGGAGTAGAATTGGTGCTCCTGCCAGAGAGATAAGCTTTGTCTCTTTAGTGGCTTCTGGTCCAAAGGTCTCTCACTCAGCTTTAGCCTTGGGGAGGTTACAGCTCCTGAAACCAGGCAGGGCAACTCCCAAAAGAAGTAGAGAAAAAGAATTTGGGAGACAATATTTTGTGTATGTCATTCTCCAAATTCTATTTGTTTTCTGTATTGACTCTACTCAGTTCATGAAGAAAACATGAATCTCCTCATACAAATCCCATATGAAAAGAAAACTGGTCTTCTCAGTTTTATCAAATAATTCTGAGGCCTGCATGGCACTGGCCTGCACTGGATCAAGTGGCCATATTAAAGCGTTACCGTGTTATTGCTGTAATATAGAAAGCAATGTTGGAGGTAAGTATCCATATTTTATTGGGATTAATTTAGTATTAATTTAGATCATGATAAATTAGGATGCATATTGTATTCAAAAGAGCAACTACCACAGAAATAGAAACTAATAACACTTAATATTTTATACTAAAAATATCTGTTTAACTCAAAAGAAGCTTGTTGATGGGACAGAGAACAATGAAAATTACAGGCAACTTATAGAAGCAAATGACAATATAAATTAAATAGAGCTGCATGGGAATTGCATTAAAGGTTATTGTCTTCACCCACCAAATAAAAGGCAGAGATATTTGAACTAGATGAAAAGCAATTTCATTATTGCTAGTGATATGAGGCATATTTTTGATTCAAAGACACAAATATGGCAAAAGTAAATTGATAGAATTCTGCTCAAAATGCTGGAGTACATAAATGCTGTGATTATATCCTCCCACAACCATATGAAATTTATAACTAAATTACAGAATAACCATCCTTGAGGACCACATGAAGATGAACTGAACAGAACTGTAACTAAAGCTGTAGAAAAGAAGCCACCTCAAGTCAGATAAAAGGGGCTGAGACAAAACTAGCTGGCACTATGTCATTCTGTAGATGTTAAGAAATAGTAGGAATATCTTGGGTGCAGAGGGATCACCTGAGAAATGAGAAATCCCAGCACCACATCCAACTCCTCAGCCAGGAGTACCAGTGCTGGGGAGAGGTATCCCCACAATATCTGGCTGTCAAATCCAGCAGAGACTCAGTCCAGGTGAGGTGGAGGGCTACTGAAACACCAGGCTTCTTCTTAAAGAACCCTAGCACAGAGTCACTTCCTCACAACATTTGTCCTAAGTTCCAGAGAAGAGACAGAAGCTTGCGAAGTGCCAGAGACATATAAGGAGAAACTGAATTGTCTGGCTTCAGGCAGAGGACTGGTGGGGCAACTCTCCCAAGGACTAGAGTACTGGGAGGCACCATTGTTATCCTGTGAAGCCCTGTTCATACACAGCAAGCAGCACAGGCCAGGGACAAATCTGAGTCTCTATCAACCAGAGTAACACCACTTGTGCCCCATCCTGGTGATTCTCTGAGAGACCCCTGGAGCTCTGTGCACATGTGAATACAAAAACAGCAAAGGATGTTACTACATGAGGCCACTCAGCCAAGACTGGAAGACATGACAGATATACCTAATATATAGTAATAAACATAGGGAGGCAGCCAAAATGAGAAGACAAAGAAACATGTCTCAAATGCAAGATCAGGATAAAACATCAGAAAAAAGAAGTATTTGATTTGAAAGTTCTCACAGGGAAAAAAGATGGAAGCAGGAGACAATTTTAGGGGAGGCTGATTTTTCTGACTATCTTTTCTTCAACACATTCCAAAATAAACAAAATGGATTCAAGCAATCCACCAGATGCAGAATTCTAAACACTGATTATAAGGAGGCTCACTGAACTTAGGAAAAGAATAGGTCATCTCAATGAGAACTTCAACAAAGAGACAGGAAACATAATGGAGCAGACAAAAAGCATAACACAGACCAAGTAAGAAATTAAGAATGTAGAGAAATAATCTTAAAAGCATCAAGGGAAAAGCAGTCACTTACCTATAAGTTTCTCATAAGTCTATCAGCTGATTTCTCAACAGAAACTTTGCATGACAGAAGGACTGGCATTAGTCAAGTGATGAAAAGCAAGGACTTACAACCTAGATTCCTCTAGCCAGCAAAGCTATCATTTAGAATTGAAGGAGACCCAAAGAGCTTCCCAGATAAGAAAAAGTTTTACAAGAAAGGTTAAAGGGACTTAAGGAGAAGAAAATAAATTACAATGGCATCTGTAGACCCTTTCACACAATGAATGCACAATACATGTTCTTTTCAAATTTATATAAAAATGTTTAGGTTATAAAGCAAGTATCAATACATTCAAAAACTGGCATAATAAAATTTATACTTTTTGATTAGCAAGGAATTAAATTTAAAATATTCATAAGAAGAAATAAGTATAAAATCACCCAGTGTTTCTAATTAAACAATAGATTCAGAGATACTAAGAAGGTGAACAACAACAACAAAAATCCTAAAAGAAATTTGAAAATAAGTTAGATGGAATCAAAATAACAAGTAAATAGTCAGCATAGAATATAGCAAAACAATGTATTTATATCACTAAAAATGATACAGGAAAGACTGTGTTAAATCAATGGTCTAAATTCTCACCTTAAGAACCTAGGAAAATAACATCAAATTAAACACAATACACACATATGAATATGCACACTCAGTACACATGTGAAAATATACAAATGTAAATGAAGAATATAATTAAGAGCAGAAATCAATGATATAGGAAAGTTAGAATAGATAAATAAATACATAAAACAATAAAGTTTATTCTTTAAAAACATCAGTAAAATTCACCAAACAATGAAACTGACCAAAAAAAAAAGCACATCACCTTATAAGAAATAAAAGAGAGGACATTACTGTGGTTACTGTAAAAATGAAAGAGATTCTAGGGATTACAATGATTAACTTCATGCTTATAAATGACAACTTACAATGGACAAATTTCTACAAAGATGTACATTATCAAAATCTGACTCAAGAAATGTTAAAAAACTTAAGAAAACTTAGCACAGGAAAATACATATATATTACTATATTTATATATGTTGATATAAATATACAAATTTATATATTGAATGAAATATATATACTGTATTTATATATGTATGCATTCAATATATAAATTTATATACATTGATAAAATAATATACATAAGTATATGTGTATATATATATTTAAAAACATTTCAAAAAGGCCCAGAGTGAGATAGTTTCACTGGTGAACTTATTGAATTATGAAGGAATAAATAATACCAATCTTTCACAATTGCTTATTCAAAAATTACAGTTGAGAAAAATCTCAATTCATTCTGTGGGGAGAAAACAAAACCAACACTCTTGGGACATGAGGAAGTTTCTGAAAGCTGTTCTAGGCTTCAACACAGACATAGGGATCTATAGTACATAATTGGAAACGATGAATCTTCTCTCCACAGTCAAATTTTCTTACTGTAACTGAAACATTAATAAAAACAAGATTTTCCTTGTTATTCATGTATTCAATTATTCCTATAATCTCTGAAACAGATTCAGGAAAAGGTTACTGCAAGACTATGGGAACCTCAGTGTCACTGTCACAAACTGCACAGCCACACAGTAGTGCAGGAAACTTAAGTCTTCATTTTCCTCAAGTTCAGATGCTCGGGCTTCTTCCCAAGTCTTACCTGCAGCATCTTCACCATTGACCCCTGCAACCGATACTCCAGCTCTGACATGAGATCTCTCAACACCAGGCTCTGCTGGACCAGCTCACTCTCAGACTGTTCCAGGTCATGGAGAATATCTGCCTCCTCCTTCGCCAGCTTTTGTAGCTCCTTCTGCTCTTCAGAGTCCAGGATGCCTCTCAGGTTTTTAAAGCAATCCTGGACAATTTGTCTCTCATTTTGTATCAGATTCTTCAGGAATGAGAAAGAAAAAGAGGGACTCAAGCTATCAGGCAGAGCCTGGGAGCCAAAAAAATAAGTATTTGATTTGGAATTTCTCATAAGGAACGGAAACAGAAGCAGGAGAGCAATATTGGGGAAGGGTAATTTTTCCTATTATTTTCTCTTCAACACATTACAAATTAATCACCTCATTATTGAAACCAACCTGGAAGCAAAATAGGACACCTGGGTGTGGCTCAGCTCTCACACCGCTGCCCAGGACAGTCATGCTTCCCTGCATTATTCCTGACCCTCAACCCCACTCTCCACCTAACATAGAGTACTGAGGTACAGAGCCATGAACCCTTGGAAATTGTCCTCCCCTGGAAGAGTTCAAGGCTTAAAATAATGACAGCAATGAACACAGAATTCACTAGCCATCCTCAGAAGATACTCTCTCTGAGAATCACTAACCGACAAGTATCTGTTAATTTGTGAGATGTTCTAATTCAGTTCCACCCACACCAGAAAAGGATACAGAATGCCTGATCAGTGACTACATATTGACTGTCAGGGAAGAGGAAGAAGGGAGGTCCTTGAGACTAAGACTCAAGGATCTGTCCAGATTTCTGTCTAGATCCCTCAAAAAGAGTCTCCTCCTACCTTCCAGGAAGTTCCCTCTTCTTTGATGTCAGCTTCCATTTTCTCAGCTTCCTGCTTTTCAGCCCTCAGCCTGTCCAGAGCTGCCTGCAGCTTTTCCTGTGAGGGAGGAATCACACCAGAGGCTGGCTATGGGCTTTCTCAGTTTCAGAATAGAGGAAAAGGGGAGAAAAATCAGGCTGATCTCTAAAGAGACTGGAGTTTATAGGAACTGTGAAACACCAATTACAAGCTGTGACTTGAAGGAAACCTGATGTGGTGAATGTTTTGTTTAAGACTCACGTAATAGAAGTCCCCATTCTGATGTCAAGACTGATTCTCTTTGTCCTAGAAGAAACCTAATCCTGTAGTATGGAAAGAACTTAGGTATTAGTCCACCCAGCTGCCCAGTTACCCATCCTGTACAAAGAAGCATTGAAGAGATTTGCTTACACACCAAACCTCCACCTATTAGAACAAGTTATAAAAATGTCTACTTTTTTAAGTCTGCTAACTGTTTTGCAATTGTGTGGAATGCACAGAAATGTTCCTCAGGCCTTGGAAGGTAAGCATAGGGACAAAAGTGATCACAGGACTCAGGACTAGGGTGGCTAAGTAAATAGAGTCAGTGCTAAGTAGACGTTTCCCATCAAGTACTATTTTTTGCCCTGTCTTTCCTCCACTCTGTTACCTTGTACTCCTGGGCAACTTCCTCCATGAGGAATATATGGTGACCACGGTGCTCTTGTGACCTCTCGCAAAGCCAGCAAATGAACTTCCCATCCTCCTTACAGAAGAGCAGGAGTTTCTCTCCATGGCGCTCACAGAGATCTCTCTTTTGCTCCTCGTCTGGACTCAACTTGGCCTCCCTAAGTGTCTTTACGATGTTGGCCATATGCCAATTAGGCTTTAGGATCCCAGGCTGGTAACTACTTCGGCACACAGGACAGCTGTTCTGCCCCTCTTCACTGACCATGGATTCTTTGTAGTTTGCAGTGATGCAGGCTTGGCAGAAACTGTGCCCACAGCACAGGCTCAGGGGTTCTGTCAGGAGCTCCAGGCAGATGGGGCAGGTCACCTCCTCCTTTAATTTCAACAGGAATCCTGAAGCCATCACAATCTGTCCTGATCTGAGGCTCCTCTGGCTCAGAGATTTCTGCCAGATTGGAGAGATTTAAGGGGGGCAGAGGAAGAATTGTAAGAATAAATGATGCTTACTGTGTAGATATCATAGACAGGGCCAGAACACATATTGAAGAACAAAGAAAAAAAAACAGGTAGACAGACAAGGAAAGGAGCTTGGTGACCTCGTAAAAAGAACAATTCATAACAATTTTAAATACTCTTAGTTTATCTGACATGGCAAATTTCATTTTTATCTGTGCAATGGTTGTTACTGTCCTTTACTTATACAGAACAAATGGATGACCTGAGGCCTTTATAGCAAGATCCTTGTGTGACCCAACATCTCTCCTGCTTCTTCTTTCCCATGTGAAAAACTCATCCTGGAAGATGAAAGCACCAAACCCCTTATGCATCTGAACTTGTATACCTACCCGTCTCTCAGCATGCAGTGCAGCCCCCGGTATAAGTAGGACTCACTCTCTTCCTTCTGTTAATCTCTCTTTACATGTTCATTTATCAGAAAGACCTCCTCTGACTACTTATTTACAGTGTAACCACTGGCAACATTTGCTGAATCTTTGAAATAATTTCTCTTATTGTCATGACATGTGACAATGTGTTTGTCTACATGGCATGGACAAATACTTTTCAAATGTGTTCATGGAGACAGTGAGTGACTTACAAAGAGTTTTTATCTTCAACATGCACACTTGCAATCAACCTAATGTGTTCAGTGTCCCCTTCAGAGGTCAGTTGGATCCTACCATCCTGAGTTAATCAAAGACATAACAGGTAACTTGGAAGGATCTGGCAAGTCTTGTGTTGATAAATGGTAAAATCTAATTGCTGCCTGGAAAATATGCCAAGGACATTGATAGGAGCCCCAAAGTATGTATGTATGTGGATGGCGGGGAGGGAAATGGCATAAATACACTCATAGGATCACACAAGCCACATACCTGGAAAAATAAGAACACAGATTAAATGAATATCTGGCCTGGAAAAGAAGTCTCAAATATTAGGAAAGGTCATTCAACTAATTCTTAATAACTATGAATTACACGCTAACAACTAAGCTAATACCTACAAACAAAATGATGAGTCTAAGCAGAAAGTTTAAACCACTATGACCCTGACATTCACCTGGAAAGTAACAGTAAATTAAAGAATCAGCCAACAAGATGATGTGAGAAACACTACTAAAGAGCTGTGCATGTTGTGGGAAATCAAACAATAGGGACAGATAGTGAGTTGTCCAGCAATTCTAACTTGAAAATAGAGGGTTGAACTGAAAGATGAAGAAGGGGAAGGAAATATGGCATATGAGTGAGGAAAAAATATATTAGGGAAAGAAATGATCTATTCATGAAAGTTGTACCACATTGTCTGAGTTTAGAAATGGCAGTGTAGCAGGTGTGCAGAAAACTGCTTGGCCTTTGATATCATACAAGCCTGCAGTGACCATGATATATGGCACTTCTCCAGTATTGTGACATTAGGGGTCTTTTCCAAGAGCAAAAGAAATTACCTAGGTTTTGCCCTCAGAGAAAGGAGGGACATAATTATCTTTGCCCTTGGGTGGTGGTGTGTTGGATGGGTCCAGTGTGGAATGGGAAGATGAATCGAATGCTTGCACAGCTGCTCAGGGGAGAGAAGATGAGAGCTTTCAGGACAAAGTTAGGAAGCAAATGTAGAGAGGGAAGAGAGTGAGACATAGGATGAGGTAAGAGGGAAGGATGGCAGTTAGATTAGGTACCTGAGAACAAAGAGTCAACAACAGGCTCTTTCTTCCTGTAGAGGCAATATTGGCTTACTCTTCTAATAAGTTGGGTATTTGGTTTTGGTTTTGTTTCCTAAGAAACTTATGAGGCTACAATAAAGGGGAAGTTCAGCTTCATTGTGAGGCCATATGATTGATAACAAAAATAGCCTGATGTGGAAAGTGCATTTGGAGGACTTCCTATAGAACTCAACTGCCAGTTAATAAGCTTAGACTTCATTTCATAAGGAGATTGTGACTTTTCTAAGCAACACTATCTCTTTTAGGCCCTTGGATGCTATGCTTATGAGATTTCACAAGGTAAATAGTACACTGTAGCTCTGAGCTTACATAACCTAAGGTATTTTTACACATGGCCACTAAGTCCGGCTTCCTAAAAGACTGAGATAAAAGGAATAAAGGACCTTCTATAGCACTGAGAAGACCATTACTAAGAGCTCACCTGAGGCAGCCAATGTTGACATGCCCTGTTTTCTGTTCTGTATCCCTAGACTGGCTAATAACCTGGCAGTTTATATCTTATCAGTTCACATGAATGAGAGTGACCATCACAACTGGAAAAGATGCTGGTGGTCATTTAAAAAGGGTATCATGGAGTGGTAGCACAGTGATGCTCATTCTCCCACCTGGACTCAATATGGCCCCATATCCACAGTCTAGGCTCAGAATTTCTCTCAGGAGCACCAAGTAAATGAGACTATGAAAAAATAAAAAAGGAAAGATAAGATCTTAGTAGATGGTACCACATTTTGATGGTAAAGAAAATGTCTGCAGTATGACATAAGGTTTTCTCTTTGCTCTGTGCTAAGAAGGGAAATGTTATAACGGCTGTATGAAGATGAATTTAGATCTACTAACACTGTCCACTGGTGCCATGTTCATCACATATGAGGGAACCTGATAAAGAATGAGGTTGAAAGAGAACCAGAAGTGTATTCTACCTAATGGTCCAGATGCTGAAAACAGCCCAGAGGACATATGCAGGTAGTCCACGGCTGCAGGGACTGTGGTCCAGATCAGGCTCTGATGAACTGCAAGAGCAGAGTAGGCGTTTCATCACGGGTAGATATTAAATGATCTCTGCCCGTGTTTACAACTGAAGTGTGATCCAAATATGGGTAGGGACATCCAATTATTTGTCATCCCATTCAGGATCCACTTGATCCTGAGACACAAGACCTTATAGAGAAGGGAAGCAAAGAACAAGCATTCAACCTTGGGGCTGCAGAATTTACTTTTTGTGTGGCTACAAGGACCTAAGGTTAAATCACCTGATGCTACAGGACACAGAAGAGGACAGTGCAGAGGAGCTTGAGGCCTCACAGATGGAGGTTCACCCCCCACAACCTAGGCAGTGACTTCAGGGCTCCAAAACAGGCAGGGAGATGCCTAGATATGAAAGCATGAGTGGTCTCTGAGCTGCAAGGATATCAAAACTGCCTAGACCATCCCTGAGGACTTACGGGTTTCACCCCACATCAGACTGCTTATCCCAGGGACCTGTGCCCCAGAGCTAAACCTACAAAACATCTGTCTTGAAAATGAACAAGACTTATGCACAGGAGAACCCAAAGGGTTTAAGGCACAGGGGGTCCTTTCTTAGGGGCTCCTGCACAGGATTTGAAAGACTTACAGACTCGCCCCAGGACATGGGCCAGAAGCAGAAGTTTGAGAAGTGCATAGACAAGGAAAGAGATCCATCTCCTGCAGGAGGAGTGGAAGTCGGTTGGACTCACACAAGGCAGTTGTGGTGTGAGGCGACAATGCTGCTACATGTACTACCTTATCAACACAGGGCTGCATTTCCCTCTAACCTATAGGTGCTACCTATAGGTTATGGTGATACCAGCACCATCTCCCTGCTGCAGCCCCTCAGCCTGACTGGGGAATGCGCATGCCCCTCTTCTTTCCTCTTCCATGGCCACACTTCCTGAGCCACCTTTTAGACTCTATCAATGCCTGCCCACCACTGTGGTCCCTATTGAGCATTTGGGCCCTGGCAGCCCTTACAGGACCCCTTTGAACTCCTGGCTGTAGTGCCTGGGCTGGGAGGGGGTGCAGTTTTGTGCCCCAAGGTCTGTAACAGAGGAACACAGTATTCTCAGCAAGCTGCCACCCTCTAGGCACTGCACGCAGAGCAGAAGGAAACTCACCCCCAATCTTCCTGGGAACAAAGCCTATTTGTTCTGGAATTCCAGCCTGAGGGGCAGTCGTGGACAGGATTCACTCTCCACACCAGGGGCCAAGAAGCTCCAGAATAGCAGAGCGAAAATGAAAGTTAAATTCTTCAGGGAGGGGCAGGGGAGGAGAAAAATCTGTGGACCAATGAGAGGCATTCACATAGGGCCCCTAGGAAATACCAAGTTTTTGTGCCTGGGTCAGAAGGGTCAGCAACTACATTTTAATCCTAGCTGAGCTCTGCTCCCTGAGGCTGTTCTCAAGGCTCTCAGGGTAATTCATCTTTGGAGACTTAGGCTTCCCTAAGCTGTGTACTATCCCACACATCAACCTCACCATGGCACCTTACAAATGAGGTGCTCTGAGGAGGGAATCAAGTCTGTCTTTTACCACAGTGAGGACCCACTCTGCAGGCTCACCTGAAGTAGTGATACTGGCAGCCCTCTCCTGTCCTGTATCCACCAGCTGAAGGAAGTGAATCTGCCCATTTGTGTCCTGTTAGGTCATGTGAGAGGGAATGGATGCTCAGATCTGAAATTACCTCAGGTGGTCAGTCAGGAGGGCTCTCCCACACTGGTAGCATGGTGATGCTGACTTTTAGAACCTGGATTCAACAGGGACAAAATGACACGTTTTCCTAAGTGAACTGTAGAGATCAAATTACATGAATTGTCTTTTGGGAGGCAATGTCATCAAACACTGTGTAACAAATAATCTCTATAGTTCCAGCATAATAAAAAGCAAAAAGGGACGTAGTTGTGATGGATGATTCATGGGTCAATATGACTGGCCACAGGGTACCCAGAGTAAACATTTGTCAATGTAAGAGACCTTGAAGCCTATAGAGAATTTTGCTTAGTTTATCTGAGTCACTGACAATTGCCAGGAAGCAAAATCTCAAGAGATTGAGAAATGCTCAGAGAATGGCAGTTTGGCACCTTATTTTCCACATTACAATAAAAAAGGAGACATCAGGAGATCAAAGGAGGAGGGTTACATGAAATCCATTAAATATTTGCTGTATACTTTATGAGCTATAGTAGGAAGTTTCCAGGAATATTGTTTACTTCATGAAATCAATCATCTTTTAGCACTCCAATTTTAGCTCATGTACGTGTTAAAGTTCCCTATACATAATTAAGCTCCTATAGGTAAGATTGGTATCTGATTGTGGCCAACCATATCTGTTTGCCTGAGACAGAGGTACCCCCTCTTTTTGCCGTATTCCCTTTTCCTCTGCAGCTGCCCATTAGAACTGTGGAACAGGTTTCTTCATTTCTCTGTTTGCTTGTTTGCTTGTTTGTTTGTTTGTTTGTTTGTTTCAAAGCAAGGATCATTCTCAAGTCTGGATAATTTTTCTGTTTAACGCTGCCTCACTGGCTGTAGCATCAGTTAGATGTTTTACCCTTTGCTTCCATGGTAGCAGAATTAGAAAGTCTTGGTGTTTTGATAATTGCCAATTGTTTCCACTTTGTATGTCATTTAATAATTTTGAAAACTACTTTCCATTCTTTATGAGCTGTCCTGAGAATATTAAGAAGCCTTGCTGCTTCTACAATACTCTAAAATTGTGATTGGCCAATTGAAAAGTCCTAGTTTAAAAATTTATTAGGCTTGTTGGGCACATCTTATTCAGATAAATAAGAACTTTGATTGGTCCACCATGGAAGTTGTTGCATATTCAGGTCAGTAACATTCCTGTTTATTTTTCAAAGATCCACCTCTAAACTTAATTAAATCAGCATTATCAAGGAGTTTCCAACAAACCATTCCTAGGCACTAGAAAGTGCTCAGCTCAATTTGATTTTAATAAGACATATAGAGGCTGGGCCATTAATAAAAATTTGCAATTCAACTGTGACAATATCCAGTCAAACCCAAAAATCTTCTCAGCTGATTTCTTATTTTTGGAAGAGGTAAAAATAGGATTCCTCTTAGTCTTTCAGAGTTAATTGGTAGCCCTTCTTTACAAATCAGATAACCAAAGTATTTTACTGGGGTAAACAGAATCAGAACTTGTCCTATGATATTCTATTGTGTTCTTCTCAGAATCTAGTAATTTCTTAGAGTATAAACTGAATTATCTATATATTGGATTAGAGTAGAATTTCTAGGAAATTTAACATTATCTAAATGGGCTTTTAGTATCTAAGACAATAGGTGAGACTCTCTTGTATGTACCAGGGGCATTACTATCCAAGTAAAATTGTAATCTTCCCAGCTGAAAGCCAAGAGGTATACAATTACAATATAGTTACTCTTATTCTTATTATTAATTTGGCAAAGCTTCCCAGGTAGCCTCAAGCATTTCAAATAAGCCTAACTAGTTTGAAAACTCTTCTATAAGGAGACAGAATAAAAACTTTATGTACTCCAGGGTCTATTGGAAGAACTCAAAGTCATTTCTAGGTTAAAAGTCTCTTAAAACTTAAGCTTTGGGAAGGTTCATCAAGCAAAGGGAGTGAAAAGACCATAACATAAACCTTTTCATTAATCTGGGAGAAAAAAAGTTTTATGGTGACAACTTTCAAAGACATCAATCCAACTTAAACCAGTTTTAATATTAAATATTTTGTTCAGACCACAGGATCCTCCTTCAGTTACATAAATATTTAATTTCTGTAAGCCAATAAAATATTATACCCAAGTAATGCCATCTGGAGGCAGAAGAAAACACACTACACATAATATACACATGAACACATATCAGGCACATCAAACCCATACACATCAAGACCATACATATGATCTGAATTGCTCATTTTTGTAGAGAAGACAATGGCAACTTATCCACTTATGGCTATAAACTTAAAACTTTCACATACTTTTACAACCATTTACAAATTTTTCACAACTTTCAGATTTTCCCAGACCTTCTTATCCATTCATAAATAACCATCTTCAAACTCTCTTCCTTCCTTTTCCCTCAAAAGTATTTCTATCTAATGCCTTCTATTACCAAAACCATGCAACTTCTTTCCAACTCAGTATAAATTTTTCACTTTTAGAAACCTCAATTTCCAATCATAACCAAAAATAAGCAGCCAGTATTTCATAGATAGGCTCTTATAAACACATTTCATAACCTGTAGAAACATAGGTTCCTCTATTGTCAAATACATTCACTTTCAATAAATACAACTCTAACAAAAACAATGAACTAGACAGGTATTAATAGCCGCATATCTGTAATGGGATTCTGAATAAAGATGCCTGGGAATAGAGAAAAAAAAGTAACACCCTCCACAGCCTGGGTTTCAGAGATGGGGTGGGGGGAGGCAGGAGCAGGGCAGAGGAAGGCAATTGAGACGTACTTTGCCTCTATGGCAACTCGGCAAATTTAATAGTTATGTTAATGTTACAGAACATACCCAGGGGTGTGGGGGTGAATGATATACTGTTACTGAATGGACCCACCCTCATGCTTCCAGGGTCCCCACCCCCATACTAGGTTGGCCTTGCCTGTCACCAGGTTAAGATGTCTCTCGGCAGAGATTGCTGAAAAGGAAAGGGATTATTTACTTAGAAGTTTATACAGACTTAGAGTAATGATTTAGTGTCTTCATTAAAAATACCAATGTCCTTTAGAATACCCACAAATGCATAGTCCTTCCTTCTCCCCTTTGTACAGTCCAGCGTACTATATTTCAGGAAAAGAAGTAGAAGCTTGTGGTTGAGGCAGCCCCTCAGTCCTGGCACCATCAGCTGTGTTGTTGCCATGATCTCCAGTTAATCCAAAACCATGTGGTACCTTCTCATGGCTCACCAGCAAGAAGACTTTCACACCTTTTCTTCCAGGCAAAGTCTCTCCTGCTTCCTAAGCCACATGACAGAAAGGGTGCTCCCTAAAGCTGCACAGTCTCAACTTTTGTCAAAGTTGCATGGTCCCAGGCTGCCATGCCCGGGTTTAAATCCCAGCACCAATCTTGCTCTGCAGCACCATTTCTGACTGCTCACACAATCAGTTACACCTGCCAGCACTCTCATATTCTTCCAGGTTTACTGGGCTGCCATAGTAAGTCCAGGCTGGCTTGGGCCCATGGTGCTGAGCCAATCATCTCCAAGCTCTCACACAGGTGCTGTAACCAGGGGGAGTTGCCTCCCAGTTGCATCATGGGTTGAAGTCACTCCCATCCCCTTGGCTCAAAGCATGGCCACAGCTATTTAACATATCCATGAAACCAGTTAAAGGTTATAGGTATGTTAAATAACCATTCTAGAGGTTATCTACAAAACTGTTGCTATTCAAAGCAACTCTCAATGGCCCTGCTCCTCACATCCCATCCCCCAGCTCAGACTTGTGGGGATGAGGACAACATATATATATATTTTTTCTAATATTTCCTGGACACCCTGAGTTCTGGACCTCATTACAAATCCCCATTTGGGGGCCCCCTTTGGCTGCACCCTATTACACCTTCACTTTTATTGTTATCATGTTAATTGTTGACTGTTAACTATTCTTTACCCACCTTTACCCACCTATTTAAATAAAGTATGTGTCAATTATTTTAGCCTTTATCCAATCCCAGAGGTACCCGCCCCCCCCCCCCCGCCCCGCCGCTCAACACACACATACTTTGCTTTCTCCAGCCTCCCTAATCAATCACAAATGGATTTCATGAAACCCCACTTAGGTGTCCTCCGGTAAAGTATAAAATAAGGTGCTAAGCTGCCACTCTCAAAAACATTTCTCAATGCATTGCTATGCTGCTTCCGGACAATTGCTGTCAGCTTGGCTCAAATTAACCCACCACAAATTCTCTACAGGTTCAAATGTCCCTTACGTTGATGCTAACTTGGTGTAGTGCAACAGGATTACAAGGAAGCCTACCGACAACCACTTTTCAAACCTGGACTTACTGCTAGATACCAGCAGGGGCCCATCATGCCTCACAGGCTTCTTGTTGTGCAAAGGGTGAACTTGAGTGAGTTTCAATTGGAATTCCTGACCTCCCTGTTTTAAGGTATGAGGCTTTGTCTTTATTTGAGATTTCTTTTTAAATTCTCAGGGTGGAACTGATAGGGGACTCAAGAGTTGGAAACTTTTAGTTTAACTAATGGCTAATAAACTTGTAATCAA